GAGACATAGAGACAGAAAGCGAGAAATCACCCCCCAGGGGGGATGGTCACGCCGCAATCCCTTCTCCTCCATTCTCCTCTCAGGATCTTGGGCACGCACGCACACGCACCCGGCGTGAGTTTTAAGCCACCGGGTCCGGGACACGAACCGCGGTCGACTATGTGGGAGTCCAGCAACATAGCCATTACACCAACTGCGGTTCCCCCTGAAGACATATTTTTAAAGCTGCTCAGAGGACTTATAACCCTGGGTGACCATGTGGGATCTGGTTTCTTCTGTGAATTGAGGTTTAGCCAGGATATTGATTTTTAATATTTTATTTAACTTTATATTTGAGCAGAGGGACAGAGCAAGAGAGAGAGAGAGAGAGGGAGAAAAAGTGAGAGAGCAAGCCACTAGGCCCAGGACTCGAACCACAGTTGGCCATGTGGGAGTCTAGCATTCTTAACTACCATGCCACTTGCCAAACCTAGATATTGATGCTTTAAAATTATTTATAGGGTCTTAACAGGCTGAGATCCTCCTGCCCAACCTCCCTGCTAGCTAGGATTACAGGGGAGCACCACCAAGCCCAACTTCTTTTAGTTAGGCCACAACCAAATGGCTCTGCTTTTCCACTTAGCAGCATCTTACAGTATGTGCCCCCAAGCTAAGTCCATTGCATGCATCCTTTCAAACATGTGAAGGGGGCGGGCAGGTGGCATGGTGCTTAAAGAGGCTGGTCTCCCACATGGCTAACCACGGTTCAGTCTCAGACCTGGCAGTTTGCTTTCTCACTTCTCTGGTAAAATTTTGAAAAAATAAATGAATTAATTTAAAAAGTAAAATAAAATAATTCCTTTTAAAGAAATCTGAGGATTTCCGGGTGCATGTGCGTCCCCAAGATACTGAGAGGAGAATGGAGAGGGGATTGCGGCGTGGCCATCCCCTCTGGGGGGGTGATTTCTCGCTGTCTATCTCTCTGTCTCTGTCTGTCTGGCAAGCGCACACGCCCTATAGCAAAAGCCTCTCAAAAAACAAAAAACAACAACAACAAAAAAATCTGAGGATCTGCACTGTGTTGAAGCTAAAATGATGATCACACTGAAATAGTGAATGCACACAAAGCTCCAGTTTAGAAAACATTTGGGGGACCAGCAAGTGGTGTAATGGTTATGTCACTGGGCTCCCACAAAGCTGACCACAGTTCAAGTCCCAAACCCAAAGGCTTGAAACTCACACCAGGTGCATGCGCGTGTGACCCAAAATCCTGAGAGGAGAATGGAAGAGTAAGAATTGCAGCATGACCATCCCCCAGGGAGGTGATTTCTCACTTTCTGTCTCTGTTTCTTTGGCAAATGCATAAGCCCTATAGCAAAAATCTGTCTCAAAAAAAAAAAAAAAAAAAAAAAAATCTAAACCCTTTCCTCAACCAGCATCATCCTATTGTTTGAAATGTAGAATCTCAGGTCCCACCTAAGGTTAGAATGTGCAATCTAAAGAGATCTCCAGATGTTCACATGGCCTTTCAAGTTTGAGAAGCACTATCCTAGATAACTGATTTCAAAGAGTACGTGTGAGAAGCCAAGTTTCAAGTCCAGTGGGATTTTGCACCTAACCAGAGAGAAGGGCCTAAGAGCATGGAGTGAGCATGCCTGATCGTGTTCAGAGGAATAGTGAGTACATGTGGCACTAGCACCATAAAAAGAAGCACAACAGGACTTGAGAGTTCTCTCTAGTTTGTGTTTATTAGTATGCATAGTAACTTAGATGTTCCAAACACCCGGAGAACCCTCAGCCCAAACCATCTTACATAGCAATGCAAGTTAACTTGTTTCAATACCTATTATAAAAAAAATACCCCTTTAAAAAATCTGATTTAACACATTTTTTATTTCACTTTTTTCCATTTCTTTATAAAACAGTCATCTTCTCACTAGCAGCTCTCTCCCCTATTGTGGGGGAGGGGGGTGGGGGAGGTTGGGCACCTCCAAAGGAAGGGGGTGGGGTGGGCCCAAGGTTACCTCCGGAGGTTCTTCTGGGCCTGTTTCAACAATGTGTCAAAGTCAAGAGAATCAAATTTGCTCTTTACAGGAGCAGGATCAAAGTCTTCCCGGTTGGAGTCTATAAAAGTAGAGACAGTGAATGTCAACGTCTTTGACCACAATTCCCAATCATAAGGTCCTCAAATGGCTAACTATCTACCATCCCAATAATGGATGGAGCTAAAATTTGCCCTGATTTTAAGTCAGAGAGATGGGAGGGCCCCATCTCTCCTCTCCCCGATCCATTCTCCTCTCATCCCAGCTCTTAGGTTCTTCGTGTGTTAGATGAAGCCTAGGTCCTCCCTCCACTCACCAAGATCAGAATAGCTCCTCTTGCAGAACTGCCTGCGGCCTCCAAAGCAAAGATCAAAGGGCTGCTCATCTGCCTGCCGCAGCTTGTGGCCACTCTCAATGGCTGCAAATGCCTCCTCAGCATAGCGGTAAGTGACGAAGCCATAGTTGTCACTGGTAGGGAGGGTTAAGGCAGGAACTGGGGTGGCCATTCATAGAGGAGACACAGCACCCCAGGGTACAAAGGTGGTTCTTCTCAGTCCCTACTGGCCAACCCTCTGATTGAAGAAATGAAGGTGCCCCACACTGCCCAGCACATCAGAGTAAAGATGAAAGGCAAATATCAGATAGATGAAACAGACAGAAAGGACATCCTGACCTTAAGGCCCAGGCTTACCCTTGGACACGGAAGTGGATGGTACACTCCTCAATCTCTCCAAAAACAGAGAACCTCTGTTTCAGTTCTGACCGAGTCATGCGACCAGGTATCTTCCCAATGAAGACCACCCTTCTCTCTTCCTATGTTGGATATCAAGGAAAATTGACATATCGTGAACCAGAGCTATAGGTGCAAACAGCTCTGGGAGCTCATGGCTCAGGGGCAAGCCCCTTCCTCCCATGACCTGCTTGGCTACTCACTATTGCACGCTCCTTCTGCAGCACTCTCTGCCTTTGGTAATGATCATGTGTACGGTAAGAGCTGTACCTGACAAGAGATGGTGCCATCAGCGCCCCCAGACACAGGACAATCATGGCTCAGAACTCTCAGACACCACATCCCAGATGCACTGCCTCCCTGAACACATGCTCACCGCCGCCTCCTGTCACTTCTCCGGCGGGGGGAGGGGGAGCGAGAACGGCTTCTTGAACTGGATGATGAAGATGAGGAAGACGAGGAGGAAGATGATGAAGACGAGGAAGAGCATCTTCGGGAACGTCCAGAAGAACTGCAGCTAGACCTGGAGAATAAAAGTGCATGTAGGAATGCCAGGAGTAGCACGGGTATACACCATTTACCTACTAAGGCCCTAGCCCTGGCTCCCTATCAGGAGCCAGGACCAAAGAAAGAGCAGAGGAAAGAAGTCTAGAACATTGTTTCACAGATGAAAAAATCATGACCCTCTATGAACTTTAGATTTATCTGGAATGTGTGGGAGTGTCTCAGCAGAGAGCCTATTTATCTTCAACTATGTAATTAAAATTTTTTTAAGTCTTTAGCAAATTGTAAAGTAGAAGAAAAATCAATGGAGACTTGGAGATAAAGGACTGGGTTCCCTAGGTCTTACAACCTAGGTCTCTGCAGTGCTGGGGCCAGGCCTGGGTCTCTTAGTTACTACTGCTCTCCTACCATGCCTCATTGGAAAACTATGACCATGGTGTAAAGGTGACTGTGCTAGACCATGGTAGAGGTCCTTTCTGAAAGTAAGTGCCCCTGCTAAAACCCAAGAATCCTTCATTGATTAAGCAGGGAAAACTGGGTCTATTACTGAGAAAAAAACACTGCCAGGAGACAGAGGCAGCTACAATAATACTCAGAGGGTCACACTCAACTGATGTTAAGGGAATAAACTTCCTGTGAATGACCCACTATCTCAAATACTCCCAAGAAAATACTGTAAATGAAGACTGATTTAATATGCAAAGATATCAACACAGTCAAGATCAAACCCTAGCGATCTCCTTAAGGGAGATCTCAAGGAAGCAGGAGACCTTAGGTGTGGAGAGCAGTCAATCCGGATATCCGAAAAACCAACAGGAAATAGAAACTATGGTTTCACAGTTTGCCTCCTCCAACAGTTCAAGAAAGGGGAAACAAAGACAGAAACGGGAGCCTTAGTCTTGAAGTCAATGTGTGAAAGTTTCCTAAGTAAACCACAGAAGGGTACATGAACTTCCTATCTGGAGAGGACCTAACAGGCCATTGGAGCTCACCTTCGCCACCTCTTGTGTGGGGGGGAGAGGGACCTGGACCGGGATCGGGATGAGGAAGACGACGATGAGGATGAGGAAGATGCTTCGCTGGTCCGGTTGGACCCAGAGCTGACAGAACGGCTGCTGCGGCCACGGTGGCCTTGCCAGCCCCGGCTTGGGGGGCTGGCTGACCTGCAGGCTTTTCGGTAACAGCGCATTGACCGCTGCTTGGCTGAGGGCTCAGAGGGGAGCCTAGTGTTCATGTCATTATGGCAGGGCGAGGCTTCAGGGGACAGCAAGGTGGATGGGGCAAGGCAAGGAGCTGCGGGGTCTGCCTGCTCATCGCTAGTCCTGTGATCAAGTGGCTCCTGGGAGGCAGCTGTATATGGGGGAAGAGGGGCGGCTGAGCCCAGGGACAAAACAGGTTTGATGGTGATGTCCTGATGGCGCTTGACGTTCCAGCGGGAGCCCACCTCTGGAATGACTAGGGCAGGCATCTTTTTTGGGGGGGTCCTGCTCCGGACACAATAGTCATGGTCCCCAGAGCCCACATGGACTGGATTAGGGCCATGGACCCCTTCTTGGAGGCGGGCTGCAGTTGGATGTTTGGCCTCTGTAACTCCTTCAGGCTTCAGGGTTCCCTCCTGGGCGGTGGACTTAGGAGATTTGGCTTTGGCCAGCAGTGAGACAGCAGCCAGGGGCTTCCATAACTGGTGGGGAGGGGTGGCTGGAGGGGTGAGCCCTGTGGGGGGGAGGGAGGATGGAGATAGCAGGATGAGATCCGATTCTACACTTCCAAACACTATGCATTTAGGCTCCAGAGACCCCCACCTCATCTCACAAAGTACACTAAACAGAGTCAACAGCCCAACTTTCTCCCACTGTTTTAAATGCTTCTTTCCCCATGTTTCCCACCTTAGGTACCAGCACGAGGGTCCTCCTATATTCTACATCCTCTTACTGCCCAAACCTAGCTGGTGACTGGCTCGTATTCAGTCTGCTTCTCCATCCTCCAACCACCACCTCCACCCAGCACCACCTGACTTCCGGAATGCATCTAGCCTTAATTCACACAACAATCTGATGGTCTCCCTATTTCCAGCTTCACACCTGTCTTCTACATTCTCTAGACAGAACACCCCCCAAACAATCTGCTAAAGTTTTCAATTGGCTCCTTTTTTTGAGAGAGAGGATTTTTGCTATAGGGTGCATGAGCTCGCCAGAGACAGAAAGCGAGAAATCATCCCCCAGGGGGATGGGCATGCCACAATCCCTTCTCCTCCATTCTCCTCTCAGGATTTTGGGAATGCACGCACACACAAATGGTGTTGAGTTAAGCTGCTGAGTCTGGGACTCAAACCACAGTCTGCCACATGGGAGTCCAGTACCTTAACCACCACATCACCTGCTGGCCCCTCATTTGCTTCTTCAATGCACAAGATTAAGTCCAAACAGCTTAGCGAGGCAAAGTTCCCATAATCTGACCTCCTATTTCCACTCTAATTTCATCTCTTGCTTTGTTCTGCCCACCACCCTCACCAGCTACCACACTCCAGCCAAACCAAGCCACTCACAATTCCTAAACATACCAGGCTGGTTTTGTTCTTTCAGTTCACTTGAGTTGCTCCACCTACCCAGAATACCCTGTCCCCTAAATATACCACCTGAGTGACATCAGTGATTTTTCTCAAGCCTCAGCTCAGGGGATCACCTTCTATGCAACCCTTCCTTTTCTGCCCCCTTGAAACCACAATTGTCTTTAACATACCACGCTGATACTCAGCATGCTCCTGTATTTACACATCTGCCCCTAGGCTGGCAGTACCTCGGTGATGGAAATCAGATCTCTGTATCCTCAATGCCTATGTACATTTGATGCAGAGCAGGCTCTGCAAACGTTTGCTGCATACACTATCATAGCCAAAGTTCCCCACTCTGAACCCACCTGCCACGTTGGCCAGCTCAGGGGCTTGTAACCGGTCTAGGGGCCTCTTCTCCTGGGGAGTATCAACGCTGCTGGTGGGGGGGAAAAGGGAAAGCCTGGTTCATTGCCTCCTCCGTATCTTGTACACCTGCTCTCCTCATAAAGCAATGCAGAAAATAGGTGCGTGCAGAGAAAAGGATGCACAAACTGCCCCCATCATCTTCCTCCAGCATGAAAGGTGTCTGGGCGACTAAACCACAGACTGGGATTCAACCCAGCACCGTCTGGTTCTATGAGGCAGGCTGGCTATGACCTTGAATACTCGCCACCTCCTTTGAAGCACAAGCCTTGCCTGCCCGCCTTGATCCAACCTGAAGCCAACTTGGAGCGAAACATGCTTGGCAGAACAGGATGCAGAACCATGAACATGAGCAATGAAAAGCCTCACAGTGCTGAAAGGCTGGGGAGCAAGGAGGTCCAGGGTGCCTGTGTCCTCCAAGGAGTCAGGGGTCCCCAGCCATTAACATCTTCCCCCACTTTAAGTTACACCATCACCAGCATTGAGCAAGCTTGGAAAGAAAGCCCCAAAGGCTCAACTTGCCAGAAGATAAAAGGCATCTCAAGTGCATTTGGGATCCCTGCCTGGAATCAGCTGGAGGACAGTACCATTTTCCCATCTCACCACCCAAGACAATCCCCAATGGTGAATGGTAGAGCAGGGGGTAGGGAAATAGGATTAGAGCTGACAAAACATCCCTGCAACAGAGGTATCCAGATGACGTCCTGGAGTGCTGGCCGGCTGCTGACCAACAGCTGTAGGGTAACTCTCACATCTCCATACTTACCCTGAGTTTCCTACAGCCAAGCTGTCAGCAGGGGCCGGAGGAGGACACTCCTTTTTGGCTGCAAAGAAACCATACTAGTTAAAAGCCCAACCAGATGTTCCAGATTAAGGAGGTGCGGAAGGACTTGCTTTGAGACTCAAAGGAGTAAAATTCACTGTCTATATATTCCTTGTTGGGCTCTTCCCAGAGAGATCCAGTCGCCTTCAGTGGGTGCCCAGGTACTATTTTTAATCATTTCTCTTCTCTGCTCAAAAAACACCCACTCTCTCCACTGAATTTGAGATAGAGTCCAAATTTATAAGCCTAACATTCAAGGTTCTACATGACCTGCCTAACTCTCTAGCTTCACAGCCTACTCTTGTCCTACACTCATTATACTTTGTATTTTACCTTGCACCACAGGTACCTGTACCAACTTAGGAGTCATTTCTGCCAATTCTTCTCCCCAATAAAATGATAAACTCCTTGAGACCAGGACACAGTACCCTCCACAGCACCTAGAGCAGTGACTCGTGCTGAAAAAGCTGAGCTGTTCACTGCCTTCCAAATATACCATAGTGGTCCTTCCTGTAATGTGTCTCTGCCTTATTCACCATACACACTTTATGAAATCCTACCTGCCTTTCAAAGCCCAGCTTAGGAGCTGCTCCCCTCTATAAAGCTGTCCCCACACAATTCCAACTTACTTGGATCTCCCCGTCTACTCTTTATAGTCCTACGATTCTGTACCACCATTGTCCCTGGCATACGTTACTGTCACAGTTGAATCCTGGCTCCCTATTCCAGGTGGGGGCTGCTCTAGTGGCTGAGATTGCTGCTCCCCTTGACCTATTGATGCCACTACAGGGCTGGGCCCAAAGGAGGTTATCAATAAAAAAGGGCTGAACGAAACTACCCACGTTCCCTCACCTTCTGACTTTTCAAACTGCTCCAGCAGACTGGACAGGTCCGATGCTTCAATTCCTGTGGAGGTACACAATGCAAGCGTGAAATCCAGCACCTTTCAGTTCAGTCCAGGTTCCAGAAAGCCTCCAAATCACCTTGCTTCTCCCTCAACACTGCCTCCTGCCCACTGTACATTAACCAAGGCAGCAGCACAAAGTGCTCAAACTAACCCAGAGTTCCCCCCTGGAAGCCTCCAAAGAAAGCCAATGTAAGCCTAGCTTCATCAAGATGGTTTACTCTAGGGAGAATACTCCCGAGCCAGCCTCTGCCCTTAACACTAACTAAACCAGGTGGCACTCACCAATCTCACTGATGAAAGCCTGTACCACATCTTCAGGACCCTGGGTACGTGGGGCAGGCAGGAAGGACAGCTTCCTTAGTCGGGCTGGGTGAATAGCAGGTAGCTTGGGGACAATGCTCTGCCTTACTGTGGAAGCAGCCTTTGTAGCAGGAGACAGGGGCTTCTCCCTGGGCCTGGTCTCCTGGGTCTCAGGCTTTAACCTCTCTGAGGCAGGCTCCTCAACACCTACACCCTCAGCAGACAGACATGGTGGAGCCTTGATCTGGGGGTTCTGCACTGGGGAGGAGGCCTTGTGTTTCAGATGGTGAGATGCAGGCACTGGTTTGACCTCCACCTTGGTGGGCTCTATCTGTGGAGCTCCATGGCCAGCTGGCCCAAGACTAAGAGGAGGAGCCACTGGCAAAGGAAGTACATTTTCAGGAGGGCCAGCTGTAAGGCCACTAGGCTCCGTCTTGGATTGGGGAAGAGCTCTCCCAACAGAGGCTGGTGGCAAAGGTGGTGGGGGAACAGTAGGCCAGAATGGAGGATGCTGTGGCCCTGGGCCCCACCCCAAGGGCCCATAGGTACAGTTGGAGCTGTAAGGTGAGACTGGGGCAGGAGGGGGTACCCAAGGCACATTGCAAGCATAGGAGCCAGGAGTACCAGACACGAGGGGCACAGTTGGAGGAGGGGGCAGGCAAGGATAGCCAGAAGGAGACACAGGGGGATAACAAGGCCAGGGTGGGACAGGGGCATAGTGAGTATACGGATCTGGTGGTACTGGCCCCATAGACACTGGAAGACTAGGAGGCTGCAAAGGAGGTTGGGGCAGACTGGGAACCCCTTGACCACTTGAAGAAAGGGGCAGTATGGAGGGAATGGCCGGCCCTCCTGGGGGAAAAGGCAAAGGTGTGGGCATTGTAGGAGGCATGGGCCCAACAGGGGATGTGGACTGCACAGGAGGGGGAGGTTTTGCTGGCAGTGGCATCTCTTGGGATGGCACCTGCTCAGGTGTCAAAGCTTTAGGTTTGTTTGCAGGTGGCTCAGGACTAGGAGAGACAGGGCTAGGACCCACAGGCACACAGCAAGCTTCAGGAGGAGCTTCATGGCTTTTCTGTAGAGTTGTCTTCTTGTCTAGGGCTGGTGGAATAACAAGGCAAGGGATGTCGGCCAGCTCTTTCGGGGTCTCTGGGAGGCTGGGCCACTTCCCAGCTGGAGGCTGGGAACTCCTCTCTTCTGCCTCTGCTTGGCGTTGCTGCCTTCGTCGCCGGTACTCAGATAAGCTAAGAGGCCGAGGTCTGGCTTCCTGGGTTGTGACATTAGTACCACGTTCCACCTTCAGAGAACCCACAATCTCCTTGACTTCAGGTACGATAGCCTTTGAGGGGCCCAAGGACTCTGACTCCAGGAGCTGGGGAGCTGGACTCCCCTGGGCTGATGACGCTGCACGTCTGGGATCAGTTGGTCTGGACTTAACTAGCACGGGCTCAACTGGAGCCAAGTCGTCAGATACATGGTCAACTGGCACTGGGTCAACCGGGACAGTGTCAACGGGTGCCAAGTTATTTGAGATGGGAACAACCACTGCAGGTTCGATGGCTGCCGAATCACCCAGGAGTGGGGCCATCAGCACTGGCTTAGCTGGAAGAGTGTCAACCAGCTCTGAGCTGTCTGAAGCAAGGTCAACCAACACAGGGTCACCAGGCACAGGGTCAGCAGAAACAGGATCAACCGCAGCAGGGTCAGCTTCAACAGGGTCAACTGGCATGGTGCTGGCTGCAGCAGTGTCAGCCAATGAGAGATGGGCTGGAGCGGTGTTGGCTTGGATATTGTCAACCAGCTTGGGGTAAAGATCTAGAGGATCTTCTTTAGTAGGACTACCTTGTCTAGCACTTTGCTCCAAATTCCCAGAGCTAGGCTTTTCCAAGGCAGCTGCCCAAGCCCGAACCCAGGCCCGGGGCTTCCCCCTACCCGGGGGAGGCCTGACCTCTCTTTGAAATTCCTCCTGAGGCTGTTTCTGCAAGTTGCCTGTCTGAGAGGCTGACTGGCACTGGGTCACTTCTGTATCCATGGTAGACTGCCCACGAGAAGATGACCTCAGCCTCCTGGCATAGCTTTCCCT